ACTAACAAACCTGTAATAGTAACCAGACAGGTTTGACACACAGGAACAGTGGGGTTGAGGGCCCTGCTTAATAATAACGTGCTGTTTTGTACATTATATAATGTATATTACAGTAACTGCTCCTGAGTGCTGTTTGTACCATATATAATGGGTTTGTTACAGTGACCGCTCCTGAGTGCTGTTTGTACCATATATAATGGGTTTGTTATAGTGATTGCTCCTGAGTGCTGTTTGTACCATATATAATTGGTTTGTTACAGTGATTGCTCCCGAGTGCTGTTTGTACCATATATAATGGGTTTGTTACAGTGATTGCTCCCGAGTGCTGTTTGTACCATATATAATGGGTTTGTTACAGTGATTGCTCCCGAGTGCTGTTTGTACCATATATAATGGGTTTGTTACAGTGATTGCTCCAGAGTGCTGTTTGTACCATATATAATGGGTTTGTTACAGTGATTGCTCCCGAGTGCTGTTTGTACCATATATAATGGGTTTGTTACAGTGATTGCTCCAGAGTGCTGTTTGTACCATATATAATGGGTTTGTTACAGTGATTGCTCCCGAGTGCTGTTTGTACCATATATAATGGGTTTGTTACAGTGATTGCTCCCGAGTGCTGTTTGTACCATATATAATGGGTTTGTTACAGTGATTGCTCCCGAGTGCTGTTTGTACCATATATAATGGGTTTGTTACAGTGATTGCTCCCGAGTGCTGTTTGTACCATATATAATGGGTTTGTTACAGTGATTGCTCCCGAGTGCTGTTTGTACCATATATAATGGGTTTGTTACAGTGATTGCTCCGAGTGCTGTTTGTACCATATATAATGGGTTTGTTACAGTGATTGCTCCTGAGTGCTGTTTGTACCATATATAATGGGTTTGTTACAGTGATTGCTCCCGAGTGCTGTTTGTACCATATATAATGGGTTTGTTACAGTGATTGCTCCAGAGTGCGGTTTGTACCATATATAATGGGTTTGTTACAGTGATTGCTCCCGAGTGCTGTTTGTACCATATATAATGGGTTTGTTACAGTGATTGCTCCCGAGTGATGTTTGTACCATATATAATGGGTTTGTTACAGTGATTGCTCCTGAGTGCTGTTTGTACCATATATAATGGGTTTGTTACAGTGATTGCTCCCGAGTGCTGTTTGTACCATATATAATGGGTTTGTTACAGTGATTGCTCCCGAGTGCTGTTTGTACCATATATAATGGGTTTGTTACAGTGATTGCTCCAGAGTGCTGTTTGTACCATATATAATGGGTTTGTTACAGTGATTGCTCCAGAGTGCTGTTTGTACCATATATAATGGGTTTGTTACAGTGATTGCTCCCGAGTGCTGTTTGTACCATATATAATGGGTTTGTTACAGTGATTGCTCCCGAGTGCTGTTTGTACCATATATAATGGGTTTGTTACAGTGATTGCTCCTGAGTGCTGTTTGTACCATATATAATGGGTTTGTTACAGTGATTGCTCCCGAGTGCTGTTTGTACCATATATAATGGGTTTGTTACAGTGATTGCTCCTGAGTGCTGTTTGTACCATATATAATGGGTTTGTTACAGTGATTGCTCCCGAGTGCTGTTTGTACCATATATAATGGGTTTGTTACAGTGATTGCTCCAGAGTGCGGTTTGTACCATATATAATGGGTTTGTTACGGTGATTGCTCCAGTGCTGTTTGTACCATATATAATGGGTTTTGTTACGGTGGTGCCCGGTGCTGTTTGTACCATATATAATGGGTTTGTTACAGTGATTGCTCCCGAGTGCGGTTTGTACCATATATAATGGGTTTGTTACAGTGATTGCTCCAGAGTGCTGTTTGTACCATATATAATGGGTTTGTTACAGTGATTGCTCCCGAGTGATGTTTGTACCATATATAATGGGTTTGTTACAGTGATTGCTCCCGAGTGCTGTTTGTACCATATATAATGGGTTTGTTACAGTGATTGCTCCCGAGTGCTGTTTGTACCATATATAATGGGTTTGTTACAGTGATTGCTCCCGAGTGATGTTTGTACCATATATAATGGGTTTGTTACAGTGATTGCTCCCGAGTGCTGTTTGTACCATATATAATGGGTTTGTTACAGTGATTGCTCCCGAGTGCTGTTTGTACCATATATAATGGGTTTGTTACAGTGATTGCTCCCGAGTGATGTTTGTACCATATATAATGGGTTTGTTACAGTGATTGCTCCCGAGTGATGTTTGTACCATATATAATGGGTTTGTTACAGTGATTGCTCCTGAGTGCTGTTTGTACCATATATAATGGGTTTGTTACAGTGATTGCTCCCGAGTGCTGTTTGTACCATATATAATGGGTTTGTTACAGTGATTGCTCCTGAGTGCTGTTTGTACCATATATAATGGGTTTGTTACAGTGATTGCTCCCGAGTGCTGTTTGTACCATATATAATGGGTTTGTTACAGTGATTGCTCTTGACTGTGTGTCTCCTTTATAAGGTTTGTAAAACATTTTGTAGACCCAATGTTGCTTTCAGTAGTTGACTGTTGCCATGCATTGATTTTTAGTCTGTTTTTTTGTTTATTTGTTGTTGCTTAAGTTTACATGCAAGCTGCTTTGTATATTAAAAAAAGTTTTAAAACCACCAGATGCAATTCTTTATCCGTGCCATGTAGTCACACCATATATATTCACTAAAACCATACAGGAAAGAACATTGTGCACAGGATCCAGTATATAGCGGCGACTGCAAAAGGAGAGGAAATTGCTTTGTTGAACTGTGTATGAGGAATCCATTATTGTGTTCATTTGAAAGCACACAAGCAACCGCAAGGCTATGACACAAATTTAAAACACAGGAGCAAACCTCAATCAGTGTGCTTGTTTAATGAGCTAAGAAGAGATTTTTAGAGTTTATTCATTTACCCCAGAGTGGATTTGAAGGTGTTATTTCATCAGGTGGAAACGTACAAAACTGTTGCTTTCAATAATTATATTTGTCTAGAAAAATCCTTAAGACATATACAGGAAACACGCACTCCTCTGTGTGTATTGAGGGCTTAATTGAGGCAGCATGTGCTCAGATTCTTTAGCTTTCTTAGTCCTCTAAATAGCAACACTGGAAGCCCACTGATTGTTGTCCACTGTGTCGACAATATTTTCCCTTTTCTACACAATTAACGTAAATCGTTATTAAAGCTGGGATAGGTCAGCACCTCTTGTCATCTGGGACCCTGTCATTGTCTGTACAAAATACCTATTTCAGAAGAACCTTGCATTACATGTAGGATTGGTTAGTCATGTTCCTTAGCCCAGTGTTCCTCACACCAGTAATTTGTATTCACACCTGGTATACAAATGAGGTGCCCATATACCCCAAATAATTAGAAAGTGTAATGATATAGTCATTTCTCATTATAGTCTAAAGGAACTCAGCATTGGGAACAGATATTAAATTGCAAGTTTCAGATTTCTAGCAAGGTACCTACAAATTGTGTAATAAAACCTCTTCATACGTCTGAGGAATGATGAGCTGCATATTCCAGGACACATTATTCTGGCATTCAAAAGGTTTGACCCTGTAAAGACCAGTGATGGAAAGGTTCTATCTTAGAACACAAGCCTTTAAAGACACTTTGTCAAAAATGGAATCCCCCAAGCCTCATTTAAAGCGGCTCTGTCACCCCCTCCCTTCCCCATCCAAACTGAGTATTTCATAAAGATAAAATCTCTATGAAATACTCACATTGACTGTGTTTAAATTTCACTAAAATTCAAATGCAGTCAAAGTACATAGTGAGACAAAGTAGGGACTACTTTGTCAAAGTATTTTCCTATGCCTGACAAAAAGGCAGAGCTACCTTTTGTCAAGTCCCAGTTGTCACTAGCAATGCAAAAAAGCTTTGTCTATGGAGGCTCCTGTGGTCTTCTCCATAGACTTCTGAGTTGTACCCTCATACATTCACAAGTATACAATGCTGCTGAGACACCAGGAGCTGATGAGGATAGTTAGGAAGAGCATGGCGGCTGCCGCAAAGAACAGGTTTAGATAGATATAACTTGCTTTCCCCTGCATCCTGTGGCATCGAGACCCCCTGCAGCAAAGTCCACTTCTAGGGTCTTTCTTTGCATATTATGTAAAGACCCAGACAGTGACAGAACTGCTTTAAAACCATGCATCTCTATAATGTTTGCGTTTATTTGATCTATAAATTTCACTCCTAGCAAACTTCATTATAATTGTATTTGCTGTGTTCACGTGGCAGTACAGACACAATTAGTAAAACTAAAAGAACAAACAAGCAATAAAGGCGCTGAAAGTGCTAATATAAAATATAAAGATAATGAAAGTGTAGCAGCACCTAAAAGTGTACAAGCTCATAAAACACCATACATAAAATCCAAAAAATAAAAATAGGTGCGCTGTATCTTTAAATGTTAAAAAGTGCAAATAGTGCGATAATATGTGCAAATATTTTGTGCAAAAACACAGAGTGTGTATACAATCACATTCAATGTGGCATAAGTGCAAAATGCAAATGTGATAGTGTAAAAATTCAATATCCAAGACAAATAACTTACAAGGGAAATATATGTCTCCTTAAATTCTCCAAATCACATGAGAACATATGTAAAAAGAGATAAAAAAATGGAGAAACATAGTATAATATTGTTTTACATAAATATAAAGACCAGCAAATACAATTAGGAATATCACTCACAAAAGAAGAGCAGTAAAAGCCTGCTCAAACTGATCCAGCTTTAAATCCAAAAACCAGGACTTCAATGTTGGTGTAAATAGGCAGGACACCAGCTTCCAAAATTAAAAACAGCTTTATTGAAAATAAATAGAATCCACACTCTCCGTTTCCATATAGCAGCCAAATAACCTTTTGCCAGTGCTGTATTGTGTATATCTACCAGTCCCTGGTAACTTTCGGTATTTCAGGCTTCACTTCCTGGAACTCGGAGTTTCGTCCGGTCACGTGATGGCGTGATGACGTAATCGGAGTTTCGTCCGGTCACGTGATGGCGTGATGACGTAATCGACGTCATCACGCCATCACGTGACCGGACGAAACTCCGAGTTCCAGGAAGTGAAGCCTGAAATACCGAAAGTTACCAGGGACTGGTAGATATACACAATACAGCACTGGCAAAAGGTTATTTGGCTGCTATATGGAAACGGAGAGTGTGGATTCTATTTATTTTCAATAAAGCTGTTTTTAATTTTGGAAGCTGGTGTCCTGCCTATTTACACCAACATTGAAGTCCTGGTTTTTGGATTTAAAGCTGGATCAGTTTGAGCAGGCTTTTACTGCTCTTTTTTTGTGAGTGATATTCCTAATTGTATTTGCTGGTCTTTATATTTATGTAAAACAATATTATACTATGTTTCTCCATTTTTTATCTCTTTTTACATATGTTCTCATGTGATTTGGAGAATTTAAGGAGACATATATTTCCCTTGTAAGTTATTTGTCTTGGATATTGAATTTTTACACTATCACATTTGCATTTTGCACTTATGCCACATTGAATGTGATTGTATACACACTCTGTGTTTTTGCACAAAATATTTGCACATATTATTGCACTATTTGCACTTTTTAACATTTAAAGATACAGCGCACCTATTTTTATTTATTTTTATTTTTCAGACACAATTAGTGCCATTTCCTGATTTTTCTATTTCCAATTACCTAAATATCAATTAAGGTTTCAATTAAGTTTGATTTACTTTAGACTTTAATTTAGGCAAGGAAGCTTATTACTAGTACCCTTATAAATCCCATTAGAATGCAATTATTAGATAACTCAGCAATCTCGATTCTTTTTATGCTGCGTGTAGATTTTGTGTTATATAATTTTTTTGCTGATGCATTTTGCTTCATGTTGGCTTTAAACAAATTAAGACAAAATACTTTGCTTACTACTACCTCTCTCAAAGTAGCTGATCGTTGTAATTTGTAAATCTGTAACAAAAAAAAAAGTACTTTTATCTTTTCAACTGTTCAAAATATAGTAAAAAGATTTGTGGGTAAGCTATTCATTTCCGCAGGAATCCAGCAAAAGCCCAAAAAACGTGAAGAAATTTCTACCAAAGCGGAAAACTGAAAGAAAGCCTTCTGATGAAGACTCTGGTTTCAGAAAAAGTATGTATCTATTTCTGTCTTGTATATCCATCCATCCATCCATCTATCTATCTTATTACGCCTGTAAAAAAACAAAACTTCATAACTATTAAATAATTTACATAGACTAATTATCACGTTTGCTCTTGGTTTTCAGGCACTGTTGCTTTGGAAGAAGATGCACAAATTCTCAAAGTAATTGAGGCATATTGCACAGGAGCAAGTTTCCATCAAAGCCTCACTTCTGGTGAGTACAGTATTTACAGTGTTTTGACAAAGCTCCAACTGCTTGGGACTACTGCACTGAAACTGTAGGAGATGGGTTACTAACTGTGTCACAAATGAGCTTATTAAAAATCCAGAGATTTATCTGCTATTCTTATTCTCTGGAAGAGGGATTCCGTACTTTGGGATTTGGTAATGGCAGAACAAAAAAATCTCATAAGAGAGACCGTGTGGAATAATTAATCAATACTAATTGGAAATATATAGGCTATGGATCAATCTGGCCTTTTTATCGAGTAGAAAATCTATATAAGATAATAATCATAAGTCATCTTGTTATAATAAAATATTGTACAATCACCAATGACAGATGATGAGAGAGAAAAATATCACAAATCAGCAGTATTTAAAAATAAAAGACATTAGAACAATTATTTGCTTGCAGTAGCAGGGATGTTAAATTATTCTCTGTCCTGTCCCCAGCTGCTTTTTGGGCTGCCAGTTCCATAATGCCATGGAAACCCATGATTGGTAAAAAATTGTGGGAATTTTAATATATAAATGTTTGACGGGCACCATATTTCAAATCCCTTGTCCGTTGAGTAAGTTGGTGGGACCAGATTTACAGATCACATCAGGGCCGGACTAGGAAGAAAAGTCAGCCCAGGCATTTTTTAATTACAGCGGCCCACTACAAAGGCGGCGGGGCCAGATAGGGTGTGTTTTGTCATCACCAATGACAAGCACGCCCCATCACAAAGTGAGCATGTTGGTTCAATGCTCTTCCAGGGTAGACCATGCGCAGAGCTCTGCAGAAGAGCTCTGGCATGAGAAAAAGACCCTGTATTTGTTCTGCACAGCGCAAGCAAATTCAATAACATGCTTGCACTGTGTTTGCTTGAAATTTGTCTCTGGTGTCTCCATAGTTGGGATACCAGGAGACAAAAATGGTAGGAAAGCATATTGTGCTGTGTGTGTGTGTGTAAGGGGTGTAGTGTGTGCGCGAGAGGGGTGCAGTGTATGTGAGGTGTGTAGTGTGTGAGTGATGGGTGCTATGTGGGTAAGGGTGCTGTGTGTGTGTGATTGGGTGCTGTGTTTGCGTGAGGGTGCTATGTGCATGTGAGGAAGCTGTGTGTGTCAGGGGTGCAGTGTGTGTGTGGGTGCTGTAAGTGTTAGGGGTGCAGTGTGTGTGTGGGTGCTGTAACTGTTAGGGGTGCAGTGTGTGTGTGTGCTGTGCGTGTCAGGGGTGCAGTGAGTGTGTACTGTGCGTGTCAGGGGTGCAGTGTGTGTGTGCTGTGAGTGTCAGGGGTGCAGTGTGTGTGAGTGAGGGTGCTGTGAGTGTCAGGGGTGCAGTGTGTGTGAGTGAGTGTTAGGGGTGTCTGTGAGGCTGCTGTGCCCTGAGTGATTATATCCCCCCTCCCTGCTTACCTTTAGCCTGGGGGGGGGATCCTGCTGCTGGGGCTGCCATCCATCCCTGGTGGTCCTAGTGGTGAGTGAACTCTAGCCTGTTGGGCTAGAGTTCACTCTCATGAGACCCGGAGCGTTGCCATGGCAATGCTCCGAATCTCGCGAGAGGAACCCGGCGGAGCTGTAAGTTAAAGCTCCGCCGGGGTTCCTCTGTTGGCAGGCTGGCTCCCTCCCTCTCTCCCCCGGCAGCCGCACTATCCTGCATGTGGGCCGGTGAGGGAGATCTCTGATCTCCCCACCGGCCCGCTGTAGACTACTGCAGGGCCGGCACTCGGATAGTGCCGGCCCTGCAAAGACCGGCAGGAGAGATCATTCGATCTCCCCTGCCGGCTGCGGCCCACCGGGCATTTGCCCGGTGTGCCCGATGGCCAGTCCGGGCCTGGATCACATCAAAGACTTTCTAGTCTTCCTTTAGACTGTAATTGTCCAGTAGCCTAAACTTAATTATGGAAGTAAACCAGAAACCATCTAGGATGCTGCCTTGCGGGCAGCTCATCATTAAGTGTGACAATGTGACACAATCTATCTTGTCAGATCAGTGCTCTGGTGAAAACAATAAGCATATAGCTGGATTTGTGTTGTTACATTTTAATAAGAAAACTATAGTCCTGCAAAACATAGTGGCACAAGAGTTAAACATTTTCAGGGTTATTTCCATATCTTTGCAAATTAAATTTAAATGGGAAACTGTGACTCACGTGTGTGTGTGTGTCATTATAGATGCTTATGTGTGCATATGGATATGAAATGGTTAAAAGGAAGGTTTTCTACACCTCTTGAATGTGATGTTGATTTTAATCTCTGTGTTTGTAGCAAGCACAGGAAATACAAATATCTTTTCATCTTTGCCATTATTCAATATAAAAATACATGTTTTTTGTTTTTTTTCTTTTTCTTTCCTTTCTGTGAATCACCAGAGTATTTCATACAGAATTTGCTGCATTTTAATGTAGTCAGTGACAGACATCAGATGTCAATGTGATTCCAGGTTCCATCTCTATTCTCTAATCAAAGATGAACACTATGAGCTGCAGTATCAGGGATCATGTTGCATATTATCTATGTGATCACCTACGTGTATTGTGCATATGCCTTTTGCAGTACTCCGTTGATATTGCCATTAATATAGGCCTGAAAGAACCAGCAACAAGTCTCAGATTAGACAGCAAAAATATGAACGTAAGGGTACATAGCTCACCTGTTCTTTGTTAAACCATACTTTCTCCTGTTTGCATTTAACTCTATTAATACACATCTATCTATTTATTTCCCCAAGTAATATTATTATTATTATTATTATTATGATGCAGTTGAGGGAGAAATGTCTGGTGCTCTAGAGGTTGCCAATATTTAATGGTTATGTGCAGCCTTTTTAATGAAATTGCAAAGTAATGATGATACTGTATGTACACCTCCATAGTTCACAAAAGAAAAAGGTGGATAACTGCATTTTGAAACGGGTCCAATTGCACTTCTACAACCCACTGATTCTGGTCCCTAACAAATATAAACTGTAAAATAGACTGATGGAGTTGTTGTCCATGGACTTTGGCAACCATGTGTACGACCAAGAAAATACAGATCATTCATTTGTGCATGTATGTGTGTGTTTTGTGGTGCAGGGCCCCGCAAAGATTCTGTTCCACAAGTCTTGCTTCTTGAAGATGAAAATCTGATTGAAGACATAAGAAGCAATGGACAGGGTGTTACCGAAGACAAGTAAGATTTTTTTTGTTTTATGTTGTTGTTTTGTTTACACATGCATTACTTGTGCTTGCTGCCTGAACGTCACCTGTGCCAAATTTAGATAACTATACTTCCATTCTAAGCAGAGGCCCATGTAATACGCATGCAATACAGTGTAACATAGGGTTTCTGAAAGGTGAGAATTTGCATAGCAAAATGTTTGACTGTTGCAGATTGGAAAAAAAGCTCACATGGCAGTTAGCGAATCTTATACTCCCACACTGTCTCCTATAAATGCATACTACTTTCAGTGTATACAACAGCTAAACAGTTGCAGTCTGTGATTTCACACTGATTGCTTGAAGATCACCATGTTTTGTTGGTTCCCATTAGACATAGTCAATAGTCATAAGATACTAAATTAGGTGGAGTAAAGTAAAACATCTCCAGCTGTCAGTGTACTACAATTCCAAATTGATATTGTCAATTTATGATTGTGTTTTCATAAAACGCCCTGCTGATTTATTATCAGTATCTCTGTAGAGCACAGCTCTGTATAAATAGGCTATATAT